CAGGTGGACTGCATGGACGATGTCTGTGGCCTCCTCCCCTTCCTCAACCCAGAGGTCCCAGACCAGGTCTACCGCCTGTGGCTGTCACTGTTTCTCCATGCAGGGTAAGGCTGGCCCAGGCGAGAGCCTGCTGGCCTGCAGAGTTTGCACAGAGGGTGGGCAGGCTGGGAGGGGAGCCCTTCCCCTTTAAGCTCTGAGCCAGTCAGCCTCCAGCAAGAGCCCCCCGCCCCCCTCCCAGGGGTGGGTGGAACTGAGGGCCCTCTCAGGGTCACCCCTCACGGTCTCCTCCCTGGCAGGATCCTGCACTGCCTGGTGTCCGTGTGCTTCCAGATGACCATCTTGCGAGATCTGGAGAAGCTGGCCGGCTGGCACCGCATCTCCATCATATACCTGCTCAGTGGCATCACCGGCAACCTGGCCAGCGCCATCTTCCTGCCCTATCGAGCAGAGGTACCGTTTCCCAGCCCCTCTCAGGCAGCCCCCACCCTCCCCGCTGGCCATGGCGGAGCACTGGTTGCTAGGGTCATGGATCCCCCAGCTCTTGGGCCCACAGATGCAGCCGGGCAAGGGCGGGATCTCTTTAGCAAGCCGTCTTCTCTCTCCGGCCTGCCTGCCTCCTTCTGCAGATGCACAGAGTGGGGGCGCTGGGTTTGGGGTGGAGGGTGCAGAGCCCCCCTCACCAACACGGCCTCTGGCTTGTCTCCTCAGGTGGGACCTGCCGGCTCCCAGTTTGGCATCCTGGCCTGCCTCTTCGTGGAGCTCTTCCAAAGCTGGCAGATCCTGGCCCGGCCCTGGCGGGCTTTCTGGAAGCTGTTGGCCGTGGTACTGTTCCTCTTCGCCTTTGGCCTCCTGCCCTGGATCGACAACTTTGCCCACATCTGCGGCTTTGTCAGTGGCCTCTTCCTCTCCTTCGCCTTCCTGCCTTACATCAGTTTTGGCAGGTTCGACCTTTACCGCAAACGGTGCCAGATCATGGTCTTCCTGCTGGTCTTCGTGGGACTCTTTGCTGGACTGGTGGTGCTTTTTTACTTCCACCCGATCCGCTGTGAGTGGTGCGAATTTCTCACCTGCCTCCCCTTCACAGACAAGTTCTGCGAAAAGTATGACTTGGACACCCAGCTCCATTGAGCCCGGAAGGGTGCCCCCCCCACCAGCTCTACCTGTCCCAACCTGCCCCCCCGTCCCCCAGTTAATTTAAACACTCTGGATTGCTCCCATTGCACTGCTTTTCATCTCAGAGACTGGAACGGTTTTCACCAACAGAAGGTCTGTGCCTTGTTCAATTTTACTGAACCCTTTTCTGCTGCCACATTTTTATAATGCTAGTTTCAAAATGGCCTTTTTAACAAGATTTGTTACTTGTTGCCCAGGTGGTGATTAAATAAACACAGAGTAGCGTTTTAGCTACATTTCCAAAACACTTTTGAGTGTTCCTGACCCTGTTGACAAAGCCACTGCGAAGCAGTTTTCAAAGCCCAAATTCTAACACTGGAAAAACTGTGAATAGTGGCTTGATTCATGAGGGAGAGCACTGGTGCTGTGTAGCAGGGAAGCAGGCAGGTAGGAAGGATGTACCACAGAGAGGGCTTCACGGCGCTGAACCACTGAGTGAAAAGAAACTGGTTTCCACAGGGCCCCAGGTTCTGCACCCACCGGGAGCATGAACTTCAAGACAAAAACCTTGTCAGGTCGGATTTTTATTATTATTATTATAAATCTAAGAATTGCGAGATGGCTGGGTGGTGGCGGTCGCCTGTTGCTACAAAGATCCAGCTCCCCAGCTGAGCCTGCATTACCTAATGCACCAACCCTTGTAAGTCTTGACAAAGAAGGTGCGGCACCAGGGCAGGCCCTTGGGCTCCCCCCCCGGGCTCCCCCCCGCCCACGTGCTCACCCAGCACAAGTCCAAAAAAAGGTCCCGCGGCAGACATGATGCTGCCGCCTCCCCCTCCGTCCCCGGCTTGAAGAGCTGTGCTGTTCAAAAGGTGGCCTCCCTTCCTCCAAAGACACAAGATGCAGCTTGCAGACGCGGTCGCTTGACCACGGTGACCATCCCTGTCGAGAAATGCAAGAGAACGTGACTGCTGGAGTGTCCCATGTTCACCTCCTGGCTCCGGCTTTCCCCTCCCCCCCTTGCAGGCTGAGCACCTCCGAAGAGTCAGCAAACAACCCCCCCCCCAACACACACACACCATTTCCGGCCAAGCCTCAAGGTTTCCCTCGCGGGCCAGCGGAACAAGCCTTTGCCTTTGGAAGCCGCTTCTTGCCCGCCCAGGACTATATATATGGCACCAGGCCTGGCTCCCTCCAAGGCTTCTGGGTTCTGCGACACCATCCCTGTGGGCGGTGTTGAAGGATCCGTTCCCCCGGACTGGCTCTGAAAACCCGGACTGGCTGCTGACGGGCACATACAAGCGCGCTCCATCGGGTGTGGGCCTGCGCAGTCCCTGCCCACTGGTTTTCCCCTACAAGAGACTCCCCACTCCAGAGGCACTGGTGGGCAGTCAAGCGCAAGCCTCAGGACACGACAGGATTGGGCTGGTTGGGAGGATCAGGCCGGGGAGGGGCGCTTCAGACTCGCCTGGCGGCTCATTTCCGGAGTTTCTTTACAAAAGTGACTTCATCTCGATTCCGGATCCCGCACCTAAAAAACACACCACATGCGTTAATGTGCCTGCCGGACCCACCCACCGCAGGCGCACTGACACAGAGTGCCACAGCAAAGGCTGCACTTCCGTGGCATTCGGGCCCGAGAGGGAGAAAGAGAGCAGTGCAGCTGGAACGGACGACTGGCCCAAGGAGTCCCCTCCCCCCCACGTCCCACAGGAGCTCCCCCCCTCCCCGACAGGGACCACCAAGAACGGCTTTAGATGCAAGCCCCCCCCCTTGAGGCGTGTCTCTCCCTGCCCCCATTCCAGGGGGTCCTGCCGCCAGAGATGCAGCTCCACCAGAATTCCAAGTGAGCCCAAACTCACTCTCTCAGCTTTTTCTGGTCGTCGTCCAACTTCTCTCCAAAGAAGGACAAGCTGTAGGTCCGCCAGACGTATTTCCTAAGCGAAAGGAGGTCTGAGCCTTCAGGAAAAGAGCTGCTTCCAGGGGCGGTGGTGGTGGGGGGGTGACTCATGGGTCCTTCTGGAGCAGCCCCCCTCCCCTCATTTCTCTCTCTGCCCCCCCCCCGGTTCTCTGGCGGGGGTCTGTGTGGGATGGATGGAGGGGACTCACCAGCTGATGTGCTGGATGCCCCCCTCCCGCTCCTGCTTCAG